GACAGTCAGAGACCTGAGACTTCAAACCAGGATTACTTTTCCAGGTCACACAGCTAGTGGGAAGCAGAGTTGGGGTCTGACCCCCATCTTATCTGACGTCACATCGCAGTTCCCCACCTCTCTGTCATTGCAGGGGGCCTGTCCAATTCTAACATGGTTGGGCTGCAGAGACCCCCAGGCCAGACACCTAAATTTCCCAGAAGCCCTCCCAGTCCCTGCCATAGGGGCCCAAGGATCACAAAAGCCCACGCCCCACATTCTGACAATGTCAGCTCTTCATGACCAGGCCAGCTGGGCTGGAGCTTGACCTCAGCAGCTTGGGGTTTTTACTAGCGAGAAGCAAACCGAACAACGGTTCATCAACTCTCTTTGCTGGGGGCAGATGAAGAACAGCCCAGAACCAGCTGCATCTATCTCTGAAGTCCTATCATCTCTTTGTTCCAGGGCTTCACAAAAATGAGGTAAATGTCACCAGGCATCAGCTTAAAGCCAGGCGTAGAAGAGTTCTCCTTGGTTTGAAAGAGGCCACCACCCCCCGGGTAATTAGGCCAAGCTTTACTGCATTAAAGATACCGGTGAGGAGGAAAGGCAGTGAGCTGGGAGCTGTTAACGGCCACCTATAATCAGAGAGAAACCGAATTACACAAAGCGCCTAACTGTCCAAGGAAAATTCAAACCAGCTATTTTTAGGCATCACCAAAGGCTCCTGCCGGCTGTTGGAAATTCCAGTAGCTTGAACTGGGTGCTGCCCAAAGTGAATTGAAGAGTTTTCACCCTAGGAAAGGGGGGTACCACAGCTACTCCCTAACAGATACTGTGCCATGGGCTTTTTAGATTTTACCTTCCTCAATGGTCACAGTGCTTGAAAGTTTGGAATTGTGCCCATTTTACAGATGAGACAATTAAGGCCCAGAATCAATAAGTGCACTGGCCAAAGTCAACACAGCAAGTAAGAGAGAAAACTGGGATGAGACAAAGTCTGCTTGATTTCTACATTGTTCCCGGGCCTTCCTGGGTTTTGCTTAAGAGAGATAAGCAAACCAACACCCCTTCCCATCAGGATACAGGATGACATTTCTTACCTATCATCCCTTTGGTCCTCGACAGCAGAACTCTTGAGGGGCCGTTTGAATTATAGAGCTCCAAGGTGCCAGGCATATATTAAAGGGAAGGGGAAAGTCTCCAGGCCTGACAAAGAAGGAGCTAGAGAGGGTCCATCTATCCAGTGTACCTTTCCATGGTCACCTGAGGCTCTGCAGGAAACCTCAGAAAAAGTGGTTAGAATGCAGCGCCAGACAGCATGAAGCACAGCCTCAACAAAATTCCCCTTCTATGTCTGGAAGACAAAAATGGCCAGAACTAACAAGAGTACACAAAATCTGCTATGTGAATTGTGAACTAAAAGTCGAAGATCCATTTTTTTCGGGGACAATGCACGCTTCCTAATACCTTCACCAAGACAGAAAAAGAAAAAATACGAGGAAGAAGTGCCTAGCTCTGGGAGAGGTCCCTCTGCTGTGATGGGGCTTTTAGGCAACACAAAAAGATGCTCAGGACCACGGACAGCCACCCATGGGTCCCACATATATGTGTTCAGTGTCGTTTTAATGAACCTTGCAAGGCAAATCTTGCAAGAATCTTTCAGGCAAATGAAAATTTTTGCAGCATCCTATAAAGTCATAATGTTCTCAAATCACCAGCAGGTCTTTGCCCCTGGGAGAAGAGCTGCACTTGCCAATGCATTTAGCAAACTGCTGTGAAAAATGTAATCCAAGCAAGAAGGAAGTCCATTTCTCGGCTCTTTTGTAACAAGGGCAAAGAGTCCATGTGCCCGAGAGTCTGTGTCAAGGCAGAATAGCAGGTGCCTGCAGACATTTGCTCTGTCAACCTTTTCACGCTTTTGCTACTCATCACCTCAGAAACACGAGGGCTGGCCCCCCTTCAAGGAGGATGCCCCATCCGAGTGGTGCTTGGGGGATGAGGAGCCTCCTTTGAATCTTCACAGTCATTAAGAGCTCTATGCTGTTGTTCAGGAAAACATAATTAAGACATGGTGTTAATACTCATGAATGGCTCGACCACTGTCATTTGGTTCCCACCATACCTGTTTCCTGATATTTTTGCTCATTTCTTGCTTGTGTAATACATAGAGGAGCTTGGGGTACTGAAAACAATATAAGAGGTCAAGGTGTTTGCTCCACTGCAGAAAGTGGGCACCCAAATTAGGAATCAGAGGTCTGGGTTCCAGCCCATGCCAATCCCTAAGAGGCACTACGGCTTTGGAAAATCCATGTCTGCCCATCATTTCCTGAAATGACCTCTGGGCCTTTGCACACTCTGCTCCCTTTGTATAGATTTCACTCCCACTCCTAGAGACCTTCCTTGAGTCTGGATAACCTCTTATACACCAGGCAAAATACTCTGCATCTTTCAAGGTCTAATCAGACCCTGCTGTGGAGCCTCCTCAGGGCTATTCAAGTTAGTTCTATCTGCTCCCTGGGCCTCAGTTTCTAAAACTGTGAAATGGGGACATCGCAAGGAAGTTGCTTCCAACAGGGCATTCACAGGACTTTTGCTGGCCCTGGACTTTTGCTTGAGAAGAATACTTTGCTTGAGAAGAATACTTCTCCTTTTACCTGGACATCTCTTTAGAATGAGATTCAGTGCAAATGTCACTCCACTGACTCCTGCAGACACAGTCCTGCAATCCCAAGCATCACCTGCCCCTCACCATGCTCCAGCTAGTCTCACTAGTCTTAGGTCTATCTCTGTACTGGATGGTGCATTCCTTGAGGGCAGGGACTGTGCTTTATCCCCCACTGATCTTCTCCATGTCTAATGCACTTGGGAGCTCAGCAAGTCTCCATGCGCCCTCCGCTGAGAGCTCACTGGGAGAGCCAACTGGACCACCTCCTTACCCATCTCCATTTTCACCTCAGCCATTGTAGCTTTGAGGTTAACAAGGCTTAGATTTTCTTCTGCATTCTCTGACTAAAGCTTCAAACTTAGTACAGCAGTGATTCAGGATATCGGCGGTGGACCTAGAGAGCCCAGGGTTCCACTCTCTGTTGGGCCCCTACTTGGACATAAATACTAAATTTCTCAGATGGAATAAAACACCACCCAGGCAATCTTTGCCCCTGCAAAGGTGAGCAAGATGAGGGTACAGCAGCATTGCAGCCGAGCTTGGAGGCTGCTCTCTGGCTACCACCAGCTCTTATATTGCTATAAGGACAGAAGACACCCTATTAGAACATAAGCTAGTGGTCTTTGTGTGCGTGTTTCAGCTGAGTGAAAAATCTTTGATGGCCCATGAGAGTGTTATTATACCAGGTAATCACAACAGTGTGTGTGTGTGTGTGTGTGAGAGAGAGAGAGAGAGAGAGAGAGAGAGAGAGAGAGAGAGAGAGAGAGAGAGAGAGAGAGAGAGAGAGAGAGAGAGAGAGAGAAAGGATTTCCAGATCACCCAGTCAATCTGAACATTAGCTAAAGGAGGTCTGGCCAATAGTTGTAGTTATGTAGCTCATCCTCATCCACTAAGACATTTTAGTGGCAGCAGTTTTCCCTTTAAATACCCATGACTTTAAGTCCCCTCCTCATTGGGTGAAAGTCACCATCAATATAACGTAAATATTGGCTCAAGGGATCAGTAGTGAGGATGATAAATCTACCAGCAACTTAAAACCTCATTCCACTAATGGCCAAACCAGAAACTCACTGCGTGGACATTCTCCAGATTTCACCCACCACCTCTGCCCTGTACCAGCCATGCCTTCTGAGCTGGGTGAGAGGGGGGCAGGGAGGGGTAGACAATGCATCCGTTTGTAGAAACCAGCCCCTTTGCAAACAGCCCCTTTGCAACCCTATTGCAGAGCAAAGGTTGAATGGGATTTGAAAAGCAGCACACTTTATCAAGCACAGCAACAAAGAATGTTTGCAAACCATGGCATTCACATGGAAGAGGCCTTTCTTTGCCAAACTCACCTGTCTGGGCAGGTCTACTACCTGGGCAGGACTTGTCAGCTCCACTGAAGCCTAAAGTCTTATGATTCCAAGTGTGGTCCATAGACCAGCAGCCTGGCAGCTCCTGAAAGCTCCTTAGAAATGTATACTCTCCCCCTGCCTCTCGCCCTGCTGAATCACAATCTGCATTTTAGCAAGATCTCCATAGGAATGCACCTGCACATTCATACTTGGCACGCACTGGCCAAAGAGTTCCCGTTCTTGCTTCCACACTGCATCAGAAGAACAGCCAGAAGAAACCTCAGCCTCTATCTCTAGTCAAGGCCATTAGCCCACGGGGCCGCGGGCTCCTGGCTGTAGAATGGGGCTACTGAGCACTGGCCACTGTCTGAAAATCTTGTAGAAATAGCAAATGAAACCAGGCCAGCGGGGCTGAGCACAGCACTGGGCACATGGCAGGTTCTGATCATGGATATTACTTGTCACTGAACGCCCAGGAGAAAATGTACACATAAGAGAGGCCTGAAGGTTTCTCCAGCACTGGCCAGCGGGGGATAAATCTCTCCATGGTGCCACTAAAGACCTAGGCTCTGGCGTTGCTTTAAATCCTCCAGTGCTCACGAGCAATGTGACCTGAGCCTCAATTTCCTCCTCTGTCAAGTGGGAGCAGGCGAGTCATAGTGCCTGTTTCAAGGAGCCTCATGAGGATGAGGCGGGCTGATGCGCACAGACACTTAGCAAGGCATGGCGCTTGCGCGTGGCATCGTTGTGGACAGCGTCCTCCTGGGAGAACATCAGACGACCCTCAGGAAGGGCGGGCGAGCTCGGGCGCGAGCGAGTCTGTTGAGGAGGCAGCTAGCCCGGGAGAGAAGAGGACCCTGAACCTTGGAAGTAGCTGCCACGGAGGGCTGCTCTGGGGGTGGGGTAGGAGGTTGGGCAGCCTCCGGGCAGCCAAGGGGCGGGGAGAGCCGGGACATGCAGCAGGGGCAGGGCAGGGTGCAGAGTTGGAGCCAGGGGGTCAGGGCGGACTCACGTACACCTGCGGGCCGCCTCCTGGGCCAGCTGCAGCCGGTAGACCGAGAGGCGGTTGGCGCCACCGCACACGCTGCCGCGCTCGCCCTTGCACTCCATGTCGCACTCGGCCTCGCTCACGTTGGCGGCCTGGATCTTGTGGCCGCAGTAGCACTCGGCGCCGAACTCCAGCCCGGCGTACAGGTAACCCCTGGGGGAAGCTGCCGTCAGGCCGGAGCAGCTGCCACCGTGGAGACCCAGGGACAGGGAGACCTGGGGAATGGGAGGGCTCTGGGGACTAGAACCCCCAGGGGCGACCCATCTCCTGCGTTCCCACCTGTCTGCCACCCCCAGGGGCCTGCCCACATAGATGCACCACGTGCATGTTCACACCAACCTGCGCACACACCGTCCATGACGTGCCCGTCACACACGTGCACACACACCCCTCAGCTCCTGGGGCTCCCCCCCACCCCTCTTCTGCCTCTCCCTGTTTGCAGCCAGGAGACACGGAATCTCCAGAGTCCGGCCCCTTCATTCCAGGAAACATCTCCCAGGAATGATGCCGCCAGGTCCCTTGAGAGGAGCTGGACGCAGAGCCTACTCTGTGTTCCGTTGGGAAGGTGGGAAGTCTAGGCCTCGCACCGGCCAAGCACAACAAGCTTTCCCCTGAAATAAAAAAATGCAGGCAGCACGAGGTTTTCAACTTTTTTTCCACAGCCATAGAATCCTTTCCTAAAAAGGACTCTTAGTGGATGCCAATCTGTAAACACAGGAAAAGAGTGTTGCTGGCTCTGGCTTCAGGGGTGGGGAGGGTGTGGGAGGACAGGCCCAGCTCAGCCCTGTGGCCCACGGAACCTCGGTGGCATCTTCAGAAGCCCAAGCACTCAGGCCGGCCAGTGGGACCCATCGGCTCATGTCCAGCTGCTTTGGACACCGAGAGGCCCTGGGGAGGCAGACTCACCCACAGACAGACCTACCCCGCATGCCGGCTGCTCTGGGTGGCATGTGGCCAAGCCTGGCCAGAGCAGGTGAGAGTAAATGGGCATCTCGGTGCCTGAATCCCTCTGGGTCTGTGTCGCCCCCCTTCCGCCTTCTGTGTCAGTCTCTGTCTCTCTCAAACCTGAATCTCAGGGTGCCCTTGGGGCCCTTCTCCTATAACTGGACCCAGTGAGGAAAGGAACGCTCCCCAAGAGTAGGTCCAGAGGGTGTTATCAACTCCACAGCAGTAGGTGGACCATTGCTCAGAGGCTGGGAGGGTGAGGTCTGGGGAGGAAGAGAACGGGCGTGCTCGGAGACCCAAGCAGAGGGCGTTCGACAGTTATGCCAAGGGAACCCCACAGGTTGGGAGGCGAGGTGGTTTTAAAATGTATTCACCAGGGCCTCCCTGATGGCCTAGGGGTTAAAACTCAGTGCTATCACTGCTATGGTCTGAGTTCAATCCCCGGCCAGGGAGATACCCACATGGCGCAGCAGACCCCTCCTGTCTCTCCTGCTGCTCCCCTCAGCAGTGTATTTCAGTCAGTCTGCCTGTTCTGCTCCCCACTCTCTCTCTGGTAAATTCTCTCACCCCCAGCACCTCTGGCCTGTACCCCAGTTCTTCTACTCTAAAATAAATAAATAAATGGAAAAACTGTAACTTAAAAAAAATTGTGTCCACAAGTTCTTTATATTACTCCTTTCCTCAAGAAAATTTGAAAAAGAAGAAAATTTGCCTCTCCGTGAATACGGGCTCACTTCTACTGAATAGCGGACAGTGGAAGAGCCGGTACGTTTGATTTGGCCTCCTCTTTCGATCCCTCTCTCCAGGGGAAACCGCCCGCCATGTTGTGAGGACACTCAAGTGGCCCCGTGGAGAGGCCCAGGTGGAGAGCACCTGAGACCCCCAGCCAGCAGCCGTGTGGGTGCCCGTCTTGGAAGAGGGTTCTCCAGCCCGGGTCAAGCCCTCAGATGGCTGCAGTCCCAGCTGGGACCCTGGTTGCAGCCTCATGAGAGACACTGAGGCGGCATCACCTTGCTCATCCCATCCCCAAATTCTGAACTCCTGACCCTCACAAACCCTGTGAGATAATGAATGTGTGGTTTTAAGATGCTAATGTTGGGACAGTGGTCACCCAGCACGGATAACATACCTCAGGGAAATGGAGGCAGCACCATGGGCCCCCCATCCATCCCTGAGAGGACTCCAGACTAGGCCTCCTGCTATCTCTTTGCCAAAAGGACCTTTCAGAAATTAAAACAGATCACAGCTCTCCTCTGCCTACAATCCCCCAGCGGCTTCCACTGCACTCAGATGGCTTGGCCTACAAACCCGCATATCGGCAGTTCTCTAAGCTGGATTCCTGCTAGAAGTATCTGGGGGACATTCTTTATATGCCAAGTCTAGGTCCCATGCCCAGAGGGTCTGACATAATTGACCTGGGTGGGACCTGGGCGGCAAGAGTTTGAACAGTTTCCTGGGTGATTCTAATGTGCCTCTGGGTGTAAACTTCAGAACCAACCTAGGTCCCAGCAGCATCTACACAAGATGCAAACTCTTGGGCTCCACCCCAAACCCTCTGGATCAAAATGTGGCAGCGGAGCCCACCAAGATATGTTTCAAATGATTGCCAGGTGATGCTGCCGGCTGCCCTCCAGGTGAAGAACCCCTACTCTGGCTGACCTGGCCCCCATCCAAGCACCCCCCAACCTACCACTTCACCCTCACCTCCCACCTTCCTCCCTTTGCAAACTCTGACCCTGCTTCAAAGACTTTGTCCCACTGCTCCCCTGCCTGGAACACTAACCCTTCTCTTCACGTGGCTGGTTCCTTCTTGCCTTGCAGCTCTGAGCTCCAAGAGTCCGTCCTAGAGAAATCCTCCATGACCCACCCCCCTAACATCACCCCTCCTGCCAGGCTCTCTCCCGCCTCCCTGTTTTACTTTCTTCTAACACTTAGGACTTTTGAAATGATCTGGCTTATTTATTTCTCTTCTAAATTGCCTGTCTTCCACTGTAGGATATAATCTCCAGGAGGGTGGTGACCCTGCGGGGTTCCTGTATTCTGAGACGGTGCCTGCCATGCAATGGGTGTCTCATAAGTATCTGTTAAGTGGATGGAGACCACTGTCCTGATAAACACCCCAGCACCCTCCCAATGCATCCAAGGCCAAGCCAGCTGCTTTCATTGGCATTCAGGACCCCATGTCAGTGGGTCTCAGCCAGCTCTGTAGCTTCCCCTTCTAATAGCTCCCCTTGGGCCTTCCATGTGCCCCTATACTGCCTACCTGAGGAGGCTGAGTATCAGGATGTCTCAGGAGTTCTCTCTGAGCATGCCATTTTTTTCTGCCCTATTCTACTATCTGGAAAACTTCTATTCACCCTTCAAAACCTGACTCAAGATTTCACCTTTATTAGTCGTCCTGAGCCGTCCATATGAAGCCCTTCATACCTCAACCTTCAGAATCCCCCCTCCCCCATATTCCTCATCATGCAGCACTCTCAGCCTGTGGAATGTGGACCACATCATGTGAGGGATCTTGTGGGGTCAAAGAGCTAATATTTGCAATGCTGAGAGATCCCTGTACAGACAGCTACTAGCACTTTAAGATAATTATGTGTGGTATCAAGTACACACACATGACCAGCTCACCCTGCACTCTAGAAACTCACTCCTAGACACGGTCTCGTACAACAACACGCTCAGACTTCCCCAGCCCATTTCCAGACAACCCTGTCATTTACACGCACATGCACATACAAACACACACATGCACACACATGTCCCCTTGCGTCGCCCTTTCCTTGTGGCAGGTATATTCATTCTCCATCACACCCTCTGTGGAGCAGGAGAGAACACCACAGGCAGGAAGCTGAGAAGGAAGGGGGTGTAATGAATGGAGCTTGGGACATCGGGGCCCTACCGTTCAGCACAGTTGTCCTGGCAACGGAAGACCGTCATCTTTTTGTAGTCGAAAAAGGACACGCCTCGCAGGGCCCGACTCTGGGTGTCATCCAGGTAGCAGCCGATGTACTTGGCTTTGGGGAGAGGAGAAAAGTCAGATTCGATGGGGTGCAAGGCTGAAAGGGTTATACGGAGTAACCTCTGTTATGGGGCCTTGTCGACATTTTGGTATCCATTCCTCCCTCCAAGCAGAAGCACAGATGCAGGAGAAACTGGAAACCATGTGATGTGCATTGGCAGAACCTGACCCATGAGGGCAGTGGGTCCAGTGGGTCCAGCTGTGGGCCTGGAGGCCAACACAGAGGAAGGGGCCCTTTAGCCGCCATGGTTATGGTCAAACCCCTGGGCTCTCCTGGAAACAGCTGGCACCAGGAACCCAAGTGTTGTTTCCTAGCCCTAAGCACCAAGGAGAGAGATGCACATTAAGACAGCTTGAAATGATCACCAGAGGACAGCATCCTCTCAGCTACAAGTTTTCTTAAGATATTTACTTTTCAGGACCTCCCTGGTGGCCTAGGGGTTTGATCCCCAGCCAGGGAGCTACCCACATGGTGCAGCAGACCTCTCCTGTCTCTCCCCACCCACTGATCCCCTCAGCAGTGTATTTCAGTCAGTCTGCCTATTCTGCTCCCCACTCTGTCTCTGGTGAATCCTCTCACTCCCCGCACCTCTGGCCTGTACCCCAGTTCTTCTATGCATAAATAAATAAATCCTTAAAAAAGGATATTTATCTTTCCTTGGGAGGAAATGGGCTATCTAGAGACCGAGGCTCTCCGCCCTGGGTACTTCCCAGGACTGGTGAGTTTGCACCAGTCAACCTTTCTGAGATCTAGTTTTCTTCATCGTGGGGATAAAAACACCAACCCAGTGAGGTAAAATAGAATGACTTGGACAAATGTTTCTACCACAGTGTCTTGCATATGATGATCACAAAGTTAAGGTGCGTGAAATAAGGAACAGGCCCTTCACAGTGCTGAGTAAGCACTTTACAGTTTGCATATGTTGTGAGCCAAGTGAGTGTTTCCATCCAGCCGGAGGAAAAATTCAAATGAAGTAAAACAGCCGTCCCATTATAAACCACATACTTCGTTTTCTTAAAGTAGCAAATGTGTTTTGTGCTTCATGGTTAAAAAAATAACTCTCACATGAACTACGTGCACATGTTCAGTTCATAAAGTATTTTCAGTTTATGAAGTCTGTTCTTACAATTATTATTATTATCTGGATCTGATCTTTGACCAACGCTTTACACATGCGGGCTCACTGAATTCTTACGGTGGCCTGTGAAGTAAGCACTTGATTTTGCATTCTGGACCGACAAGGAAACTGAGGCCCGGAGAGGCTAAGTCACTTGCCCAAGGAAACACAGCTTGTGTGCGTGACGCCAGGAGGGACCCGGGCACACAGGCCCCGGAGTCCATGTTCTGAACTACTTGCTTCTTCTCCCACAGGGATCTGTGCAAGACGCAGGTGCTGCGGGAGAGCCCTGGTTTCTCTCACTCTCTCTCGGGTGGTTAAACAGAGCCGGAGAACAGGGAAGAGGTTCAGCTGGTGTGAGAACGAAGATTTATATTCAGGTGGACCCAAACCAACGCCCTTCTCCACCTGGAAGGAGTGGAGGTCGGGGAGGGGGAGCCGGCCGACCCCGGCACCCAAAGGTCCTCAGAGAATGACCAAGGAAACGCCCCCGGTCCCCGTCCCTCCTGCTGGACAGTCTGCTGCCCGTCTCCCTGCGGTTTGCGCCTGCAGCGCCTGCGGAAGATGCAGCCTCATCGCTGAGCAGCCCTGAGCCGCCGGCTGCCCGGCTAAGTGTGGGGTTTGACAGCCCCGCGCCTCGACCCTGACCACCTCGGCTTTCTTTCATCAGACAGAGGTGATCTGGCCGACTAAGAACAGTCCATCTTCAAAAGAAACATCACCTCCCTGGAGCAGGCATGTCAGCCAGTGACAGCCGGGCCTTGTCATTGTGTTTGTTCAACAACGCGTGACCCTCCTGTCGCAGATGGAACCACGGCCCTGTGGCCTGGAGCACGAGGCTGTCACACCTGAGGGGGACAGAGCACCCCGGGGCCGTGCTGGGGGGGTGCCGCACCAGGCCTGGCTCAGTCGTCCACCAGGGGACAGTGTCCAGGATGCACCCTAGGGTGGCAGGAGGACACAGAGGAAGCGCGAGGAGGAGAGGGGGAGAAGAGGGAGGTGGAGGAAGGAGATGGGAGGGGCCAGGTGGCACGAGGGCTGTGTCATCAGGTCAACACAGGGAGGGGTGGAGGGAAGGAGGGAGGCAGAGGAGGGATGAAACGCTCGTGCACGCCTTGGCCAAATCGATGTGAGGGCGACTCTACTACAAAGTGCGTCACTGTTCACAGTCCACCTGCTTCTTACTCCCCCAGCTTCCAGACGAGGACGCTGACCCCAGGGGTATTCCAGCTGTCTGCCTGAGGAGCAGCGCCTGGGTTGGGCGCATGTGTACGTTCTGACCCATCGCCACACACGACATGTCTGCGTTTCCTCCTTTCTAAGTGGAGGTGAAGCTATGTCTTCTGTGCAAGCGCCTGCCACTTGAAAAGTAAGCCTGGGTCTATCTTCCAGCCATCTCCTGTGGGGGTAAGTTTTGCTTCCTTCTGGCCTTGAGGTTTCAGGGTCCTGAAGCGCCTCAGAGAGATCTAATGGGGAGCCATGTTGACATGGGCCTACAGGTGGGCCTCGGGGGGTCTGCTGGGCTGGCAGGTGGACCTCGGAGGTCTCTCCTTAGGCTGAGGTAGGTGCTTTGTGTCACACAAGATTCCTGCCATCGAATTAGTGGGAGCAAAAGTGTGTGTGTCTACTAGGGAGTGAAGGGGTGACTGTAATGACATGTTTTACCCCTTTAAAGCATCCCCTCTTCCTATTTTTCTACTTGCCGATCTCACCCACCCTGACCTTGGGGAGACACTGACCTTGCAAGGTCAGTCATATTGTCCGTCTCACTGGCAAACCATCAGGGACACTGGGGAGTGGGCACATGACCTATTCTTTGGATTCTTACAGATTAAAGCTGAGAGAACAAACTGTCTTCCTTGGGTTATGACAGTGACATTCTGGAAGCCCAGAGCTACCCACAGCCATAATCCCTGGCACCAAAGCAAGTGTGTCTGGGAGAACCGAACTAAGGAAGAGATAAGCAGAGAGGAGAGTGAGAGACGGACACTAATCATTCATTTACAAACCCAGCCCCTCCTGTAGTTTGGTGCATAGTACATTTTCTTACTTAGCTTCAGCTGGGTTAGGAATGGTCCCGAGTTGCCCAAGGAGCACTGATGAATATTCTGGAACTCAAGCTAAGTCATGTGACTCCACCCTATTGTGAGGGTCAAACCCAAAGATACCCCCAGACCTGTCATCTCCAAAGCTGCCCTTTCCCACATACCACAGTCAGATTCAGCTCAGGAGGAGACATCTCGGGGAGGATGGGAGACGGAGGGTCCCTTGGGGAGAAGAGCTGGGACTTGGTCACAGGTCCAGCAGCCCAAAAGTCCAGGCTTTTAAATGCCATGCCTACCTTTCCTCACCTGACTACCAGGCCAGTTATCTGGCCGAGATATCCCTACACGACAGGTGCTCCAAGACTTGCTGCATGAACGGGTGACTGTCTGCGATTTTATCTGCCCACAGGGGCAGAAAATGACACATGACCTTTCATTAATGCTCTGGAGAAATGTGGGCACATTTCACACCAGAGCATGATGAATGGGCTGAGCACTGTGGTCAAAACATGGCTATTAAGTCAGTTTCTTCCCTGTCCTGGGCACGGGCAGGGGGCTCCCTCCCCACTGGTCTGCACAGCAGGCTGCAGCCACACAACCATGTCCCTGCCCCTGGAGTTCCATCCCCCATGAGCAGTGAGTTCCTTGGCACGGTTGCAGGCAGCCCACTGGACAACCATTCACCCAGGCCCCACCTTCAAGTCCCAGAATGCACCTGCAGCGGTGACAGAATCGGGGAGGCCAGGTATGTAAAACAGGAACAAAATCACAGGCCACTTGAAGGTGGATTCATAGCTGCATTCACACAATCTACCAGCTCATCTCTGCAGTCATCCAAATATTGCTGAAATGGCAAAGTCACCCCAGCCTGGTGATTTATCTCAAACACATAAAGCAGCCAGGGGTGAGGCCGGGAGGGTGCAGGCATCTGGAAAAGAGACCTCTGGGTGTGTTTTTTTCTTTCCCTTTGCCTTTTGCTTTCATTAATCTTCCTCTTCCAGAAATTTTTGCACTCTTCAATAGGGTAATTTGTTAAAAGCATAGCCAAACATATATTACTTTGTGTTCCCCTTCTTGACTGTCTGTGAGCGCACTCCCAGCCAGCAGGCATAGTGTCCTAGAGGGAGAGTGATTTTGGAGTCAACCAGACCTGGCTTTCAATCCTGACACTGCAGCGGCTTTGCAGGACGGCTCAAGCACTGGGCAGACAGCTCTCCCTCCTGTCTGAAAAGTGGGACCAAAACCCAGTGGTGTTATGGGTTGAATTGTTCACCCCCTTCCCCAAAAAGGCATGGTGCAGTTCTAAGTGCAGGACCTTAGGAAGTGACCTGATTTGGAAACAGGGTTCTTGCAGGTGTCATTTAAGTTATGGGGTCATGATGGGGCAGCATGGCCCTGATCCAGAATCACCGATGTCCTTGTAAGATGGCTTTAGGAAGACTCGGAGACCCAAGGGGGCCATTGGGTGCAAATGGAGGCAGAGATCAGAGCCGCACAATGGAAAGTCCAGGAACGCCAAGGATTATTGGCGACCTCAGAAGCTCGGAGAAGGGTGCGGGTCAGATTCTCCAGTGTCCCTGCCAACATCTGGAGTGTGGACTCTGGGCCCCAGCACTGAGAGAGAACACATTTCTGTGTTTGAAGCCTCCCATTTATGATACCTTGTTAGGGCAGCCTCAGAAAACAAAATAAGGGTGTTGTTGAGACTGACCGTAAGCGAGGCTCATCTGAGGCCAGCAAAGGGCCTGACACAGAGAAGGGACTCACCGAATTGTGTCTCTCCATCATCTTAGAAGGTTGTCCTTCCAGATGACCCTTCAGTGCTCTCTGGTTTTCCATGCAGGACATGGAATTTCCTCCTCACACCGGGGTTTCCCTGGGGTAGAAGGACTTTTTCGCACAGAAATAATTCAGGGTCACCATCAAAGAATTTCTAATGAAACAAGAAAGTGCTATTGTGGGAAAATAGTGGGTACAATGGCAGCCACACACAAATATGGAAACACACAGGAGGGAAGACAGGAGGGGGACATGCCAGCAGCGCTCCCCGTGGCAGCTGTGGGGTGGGGTTTTCATAGCTCTCTCTTGTTCTATAGATTCTAACTTTTCACACTGAGTATGTGCCATTTTGAAAATCAGAAATTCATTTTTGAAGATATAATTTATCTTTTTACCTGTGTGTCTTCCCTTTTGCTCTCCCCAAGTAGTTGTGACTATTCCCAGAGGGGAAAACTGTGCTTGAATCCATTCTGTGTCTCTACCTCCCAGCACAGGGCTGGGCACATAGTAGGTGCACACTTCATGTGGATGAATGCATGAATGAATCACTGCAGTTGGGAATTCTACACTTTAAGAAAGTGGTAGCTCAGTGATTAAGAACTGGGTTTTGGGGCCTCCCTGGTGGTGCAAAGGGTTAGGTGTAAGCACTATGAAGCTATCTACAGCCACTGCAGCATGAGTTCGATCCCCAGCCAGGGAGTTAACCCACACAGCACAGCAGACCTCTCCTGTCTCACCCGCTGTTCCCCTCAGCAGTGTATTTCAGTAGATCCACCTGTTCTGCTCCCCACTCTGTCTGTGGTGAATTCTCTCACCCCCTACACCTCTGATCTACATCCCAGCTCTTGTATGCATAAATAAATAAAATAAATCTTAAAAAAAAAAGAATTAGGGTTTTGGCCTCAAACAGAATTGGTTGGAGTCTGCTCTGCCTTAGCAGCTGTGTGACATTGCACAAGTGACTACACCTCTCTGAGTCTCTGTTTCTTCATCTGTGAGAGGGGCTGGGTACTTCCTCCCTGATGTGAAGCTGGAGGAAACTATGGAGTCAGGGCAGACACTGCATCTTCAGCTGAGGAGGTGGGGAGTAGGCGCCCTGTGGCCCTTCCAAAATGCCTACCCCTGTCCTCTGTCATGCCCAAACCACTTCTCCTGTGATCTGGGGGGATAGGAACAGCATGGGCTTTGAAACCAAACTGGGTCTGGCTCCTGGCTCTGCCATCAATTAGATGTGTTACATTCTGCAAATCACTCCCCGCCCCTTTGCACCTTCTTTCACAGGTAAAATGACAATATTAGTAATAATGGTGACCATGAATTAAGTGCTTTTACTCTGTGCCAGGTGCTGTGCTGAGCACTTTCTGTGTGTGCACTAAGAAGTGAGGTGAAGTAGTAGGTAAGGTTTGGTGTACAGTCTGGTTGCTTGGGTTCAAATATCCCCTCCTCTAACTGGAGAACCTTGGGCAAGTTACTTCACCTCTCTGTGCCTTAATTTCCTCTCCCTAAGATGGGTTAAAATTGCATGTACCTCACTGGGCTGCTGTGAAGATTATGTGATGTAATCATTGCTATGTGCTTAGCACAGTAGCTGGAGCTTAAAAGAGCACCCCATGAATTTATCTTATATACTCATCAATAGGCATCAAATGTTATAGGACTTTTTATCCCCAAGAGGAAACTGAGGCTCAGGGAGGTGAAATGACCTACCCAGGGTTGCACAGCCAGTAAGTTGCAGAACCAGGATTTGAACCCTGATTTGGCTGCTCAAGACATGGTTCTCAGCATCTGTGTGAAGCACAGGCCCCAGCAGAGTGATGGGCACATTGCAGAGGCCAACTCCACCCAGAATTCCAGCCCAGCTCCAGCCTATCCTGGGAGCAGGGCCTTCCTCCTGCTCCTGGCCTGGGAGGGCCTCTGAATCTTTTGCAGTTTAAGTCCTGCCTCACCGCATCAAGTAGAGTTCTTGCCAGCTTCAGAGAAAAACCAAATGTGTTTACCATCAGGTCAGAGAAGCGTCTCGTTTTTATTAGCGTTAATCTAATATGTTTTCCTTCCTCGCTGAACTCTGAATAAGTTAATCAAGGACAGGCTGGATTTGTGTTTTCTTAATAATGCCGCCTGATTCCTAAGGCTGCCTGTTGAGAGCTGTGGGCTCAGAGCATCTTTTTTTATCTTCTATTTCCTTTTCTGTGATATGTCATAACATATATAAGATTTCCAGGGCCAGGGGGTCAGTGTGGTGTAGGAGACACTGTAAGCTATGCAATTAAATGGACCTTGTTTTAAACCTTGATTTTTCCATTTGCTACCTAGGGTAAGTGACTATTCCTTGGGTTTTAATTTTTCCCATCTGTGAAATAGGATAGCAACTGTCTCTAATTTTGTGAGTTATTGTGATAATTAAATAAAGCAATGAAGCACTTAGACTCTAAGCCCATAAAGATAATTCAATAGATATCAGCTATTACTACCACAGTTATTAATAACAGCAACTATTAAGTGACCTATAATTATAAGTAGGAGATGTGATAGCATTTGACATGGCTTGTTCCATTCAAATAAGATATGAAAAGCCACAGGCAGTGGCTGGCATGAAGCAGGTGCCCAAGGAAAGGGAATAATGACTAGTAGTGGTAGCCTGAGGAGGAATGAATAGAAGTTCATTCCTATCACAAATGGGGGGGGGGGGTGCTGTCATTGTATCAAATGTGCCACAAGGAGCTCATACTCTATCAGAGAACCTTGACAAACAGCAACACCATTCATGCAAGGGCCATGGCAGGGAGTATCAAGGAGTAGCATCAAGTGTGGAGGGAGGTGAGGGCAATTTCTTGGAGATGAGCTAAGCAGAGACCTGGAGGACAAGTAGAGTTAACCCTTGGAGGCTGAGGGGTGTTATTCATTCAAATGTCCACCCAGAGGGGAGACATTCAACAAGCCAGTACCACACGCCAGCTGTGTGCTCGGCGCTGTCCCTGGTGCTGATGGGACGCAGGCAAACAGGAGACGCCACATGGCCGCCTTCATGGAGCAGACAGTTGCAGAGCAGAGGCAGACAACAAACAAGCGATAGACACATCACCAAGATGCTTGCAGATGGTGATAAGGGCTGTGGCAAAAATAAAACCGGGGGATGTGACTGTCACCAGATTCAAAGACCATTTTAGTTAGAATAGTCCAGTAAGGCCTCCATGGGAAGGCGAGGTTTGACGGGTGCCCCGAGGAAGTGAGCCCTGCAAAGAGCTGGTGGAACAGCATTCTAGATGGAAGGGGCTGCCTGTGCGAAGATCTTAAGTTTGGAGCAGGACTGGTGTGCTCCATGAACAGCAATAAAGACAGCGGGGCAGGGAGTAGCCAGGGAGATGGGGGAGGGGGGGTTGTAAGTTGAGGTTGGAGAGGTGAGCCATGGTAGGGACCCTAGAATTTATCCTACACACCATTGGGAGCATGTCCCAAGGTGCAAGCTTGTGGCAAAAGTAGCGTCAAAGTAGCACCTCACACCTCACCTGTGACTACAGATGGATCCTTTCCTGTGTAGATCTGTGAGATTTTCCTGATCACCTCTAAGAACCTACCGTGTCCCAGGCATTGTTCTGGGCATTTTCATGACCACTGTCTCATTGAACTCTCAAGAGAAGCCTTCAAGGGAGGAGTGATAATTCCCGTTTCACAGAGGACAAAATTGAGGCATGAGAAGGTGAAGCCAGTTTCCTGGAACTCACAACTGGTTGAGATGGAGCTGGGATGGGAATCAAGTCCCTAATCTACTCTTCCACCTGCTACCTTCTCCTTTTCCCCCCTATGCACTCTGGGCTCTTGAAGGGGCAGATTCAGGGAAATTCCTGGGGGTTGGAAGGTGAGTTTCTGGGATGGCTTCGGGGCCAGAAACAGGTGGTGTGCTCCCAGGGTGAGGTCCCTCCATCGATCCTATTTCCCTCATGGTGGAAAAAGGGGCTTTCCACAAATCACAGCAGGTGAGTGACGCATGGCCAGGGACACTGAGACCCGGGAGGTTTCCTTCTGCCCCGGCCAGTGGTGGATCTTCCCAAACCATCTGCCTGATTCCTGAAATATCCACTGGTTTTACTCTCACCAGCTGCAAGGTTTGCAGTGTCCTTCCCAGCACGTTGGTCAGATGGCAGATGCCAACAGACTGGGAGGCAGCAGCAGAGCCAAAAGCGTTCAGGTCAGACAGATGTGATTCGAACCCCAGCGCTCACCAACTCTGTGGCCTTGGGCAAGTGTCGTCACTTCTTTAAGCCTCAGTTTGCACACGTTTCCTGGACACAGGGTCACACTGCCTGCTCAGGTTCACAGAGCAGCGAAAATCAAATGAGGTAATGTACTCCCAGAGAAAAGCTCCTTTTGACTGTAAAAGGCAAAGGAAATGCAATAAAATATGCCCAAGGCACTGATGTCTGCCAAGCACCACCACCAAGGGCTCCAGCAGGGCACTGAGAGGACTGAGGTGGCGCTGAAGCTCCGTCCTGCGCTGCGTAACCTTGGGGACTTGGTGCCACGGGCATCTTTACAGTGGGAATAGCAGCACTTACTACATAGGGTATGGGAGTGATTCAACACGTGAAGAGTCCTCAAGAGATGCCAGCTATTTTTATTCTCATGTGTATTTAACAAGGATTGGAAAAGGCTGTGGGGAGGGTCTGACCTTCAACTCTGACAGGGGTGGGGTCCAAATCCAAGCCTGACTGTTTGCAAGCTGTGTGGCCTTGGGCAAGCTGCTTAACCTCTCTGAGTTTTCATTTTCTCCTCCGCCAAATGGAAGCGCGGTGCTGCGTGGTGCTGTGTCTGCAGCCATGCCCATATGTGCCTGGTTCCACCACACACTGCGAGCCCACAGCTTGGTCATATTCTCATCCTCCTCCATCCTTTCCCCTCAACCATCGTGCAGCCCGTCTAACCCTCTTACCTCGCTCCTCCTCCTTCTCCCTGACGACTCTCCCCTTGAGGGCTCGGCTCCAGGCTCCACCGTAGTCTCCCAGCTTGGCCCTCTCGTTCCCATCCTTGCCCTTGAACCAGGGTCCATACCGGCGGGCAATGTTGGAGGCGTCACCCGTGTCCCGGAAACCTCTTCCCAGATGCAAGTCACCCAAGAAGGGCAGCTCCGCACCCTCGGCCGGGGCCCCTGCAGCGGGGTTCCCCTGGCCCTGAGAGACGGCCGGCTGACCCACGAAGCCAGAGTGCAGGAAGACGAGGCTCCCGGCTGTCAGGTAGAGCACCAGGAAGGTAAAGAAACGCACGGGTCTCCGGCGGAAGTACCGCTGGAATTTGAACCAGAGCTTGGCCATAGCGGGATCATTCCGGAATGACGCGCAGGGGCTCGCTGGGGCGGTCCGGGGAGGAGGTGAAGGGGGGCTTTGTTTCCCAAACTTCCCTTAGGAAGGGAGCCCCTGGGGCTGTTCAGCTTATTCCCTCAGTGAAGGTGATGACCAGGTCCAGGAGGGGAAGGTCGGCCTGGTTAGGGTTGGGGTGAGGTGAAGAGCAAGGAGAGTGGGGTTCACCAGCCTTCCCAAGGTCAAGGTGAGCTTCTTTGGGCTAGGAGAGCAGTTTTGAGGCTTGAGACACCCAGGAGATGGTCCCATTACGCTCCATCTTGCTCTTTGCCTCAGAGAGTTCCCACAGAGCTTTGAAAATAGTCATTGGAGGAGTCGGGATGGCCAGCAGCCACCGTCCCTTCTTGCCCCTTCTCAGCTCCTCAGCCTGTCCAACCGCACAATTTCCATTTCTAGTCTCTTCCTCAGCTGGAGACCCATCTCCACGTGTCCACCTGGTTGAAACAGAGGCTGGGGGGCTTCCATCCAGTCAAGCATTAGGCCCCGGGGCTGTTACCTGCAAAACAGCGGACACAGGCATGAGAAGCCTCCTCACAGAGACCAGAGCTCACAGGGTTCTTGAACCTTCCCAAGGGAGGGATGCAGCACCCAGAAGGGAAGGGAAGCCAACGGCCTGAAGCCCCCAGTGGTGCTGGAGAGAAGCCCGGTCTGAGTTTTCTAGAACACTGCCTTCCTTCTTCTTTAAACCAAACTGGGGGTCAAGCAACTTCAATTGATTGGGTATTCACTTGTGGACAAGCTTATTGAGGCCCACACGCCCTAAATATTTGTCAAACATACACTGTATCATGAAGTGTCAAAAAATACTTCTCCAGCTCTTGCTGAACTGCCTGCTGGATCTGGCTGACACTTAACCAGCTCCAGTGCATTCCTCACCCACCTGCCACCCCAACAAATATTCAGTGAGCAACTGCCACATAGCAGGCACTATCCCAGGAGCTGAAAATAAAGCAGTGGACCAGAGAGACAACGTCCCTTCCCTCTCTGGGCTCCCAATGCAGCAGGAGAGCTCAAATCCTCACCTCTCTCCTCTGTCTGAAGAGGAAAGGAGGTGCAGGGTAAGGGAAAAGGTATCAGGCTTTTCTGTCCTCCCGCCATCAGGATTGATGATGGATCCTTGCGGTCCTGAACGCATGCCTGATGGCGGGCACCTGGAGTAGGGTGTGGGCCTAGGTAGATGGGATTCACCTGGACTGAGACTGGGCTTTTAAGGGCAGCGTCACGGGGACGCCAGCAGAAGCTGAAAGGGAAGCCGAGAAGCAGCAGAACAAACAGAAGAGCAGAGAGAATGTGAGAGAAGGTCGGAGAGCCCAGAGTGAAGACTTGCTGGGGGCTAGGAGGCCTGCCAGCCCCCCAGCGCCCCTGCCTGCCAAGTACCCGCTAAATCCCAATAAAAAACCTGCAAAAGCCACTGAGGACTCTAACTCCTCAGTCTGCTGGATCATAGAAAACCTGCACTGTGTCCTTTCCTGACCCTACAGGAGGGAAGCAGGACCCCTTAGTCACATACTCGTTCACTCAGCCTTGCTCATCTACGGTCTGCCCAGCTTTGGGCCAAGCCCTCTATGTATGTTACCTCATTTAATCTTCCCAATCTTCTTGTGGGAGGTAATTATTTCCCCATTTTACAGAAGAGGAAACTGGGCCCACACAGTTGTAGATGGTGGAGTTGAGACTTGAACCCAGGATGGTTCAAATGCGCTTTGCGCGCGCAGTCAGGACAGTGTATGGGGATTCAGAGACACCCCTGAAGCAGCAGCCCATCTCCACAGCTTCCCAGGGGCCAGTAGTGACTCACCTCCTCAGGAGGACCTGAGAGCTCCTGACTCAGAATCACGGGGGTGCCGGCTTAAGTATCAAGATTCCTGACCTCTCCAAGCAGAATGTCTGACTGTAGGGGAAATCTAAAGGTTTAAGAAGGAGTCCTCAGATGGTAGTAATGAGCACAGTGGTTTGAGAACCACTGCTTTTTCGAGTAAACATTTGAGATCATCAACCAGGAAGAAACCCAAATGTAAATAAGAAAATGGATTATCTTTGGCTGATGCTATTCACATTGCCACCAGCAGGGGGCCCGTGCCAAGTTGGTCGATGCATGGAATTCAAATTGCTGGTCAATGGATGATGTTCCTCCAAACGCAGACAGCAGCGTGGGAGTTCAACTGGGGTTCAAAGTAGAGTCCTCCAGTCCTCCATATGTCATTCCATTCCTTAAGGAGCTAAGCACTTAAGGAGCTAAGCACCTACTATGTGCCAGTTATTGTTCTAGGCACTTGGAATCAACAAGTGCCTTGGAATCGACAGTCAAAAAGTCATCCTCTTGTGAGGTCATGTTATCCATCCATCAACTGCCACATCATCAATCCATCATTCTTTAATCTATCCATCAGTCCACTTCCTCATCCATCCATTAAATCACCATCTACCCACCCATCCATCATCTATTTTTTTATCCATCCATCAATCCACTACCATCCACCATACATCTACTCTCTCATCCATTCATCCGTCCATTCACTGAACTGCAATAGCCCATTCATCCAACTCTCCACCTAACCATTCGGCCACCCATTCCTCTGTCCATTTAAAAACATATGTTGTGCGTAAGGAATGCAGAAATAAACACTTCAGAGTCCCTCCATTCAGAGAATCCAGCCCACTGAGGAAAATGCAACTTAAACATCACTATATTAAATCACTGACTTAGACAGTGATAAAAATCTGTAGTAGAAATATGCATGAGGTATAAAAAAGCAATTAATATTAATATTAGTTAATGCTTAATGAACACTTATTATGTGTCAGATACTGCTCCAAACATATACATACTCTGATTTAGTTCTTATAACTATTCAATGAGGAAGATGTATATTTTACAGAGGAGATGAATGAGGCTCAGAGATGTGAAGTCACTTGTCCAGAGCCACACAGTGCTCAGTGGTAGCTGGATGTGAATGGGGACCACCTGAAGTCACAGTTTGTGTTGCAAACTGCGCATCTGTCCTTTGAGAATCTGAAGAAACTGCAGATGGATGCCCAGAAAAGACCTTTGCATATAAGCCCCCAGATTTTGGCTTGCCGTGTCAGGAGGCTTGTGATCCCAGAGTGAGAAGCCCTGGAATGTGGGAGCCCAGGGAAATGAGGGACTGAGACCACTTTGGGGTGGTCCCTGGGACGCAGGTCTCTGGGGTGCAGGCAGCAGAGGTGCGCAGGGCAGGTGGCAGGGGCCCAGACCGTGTGGAGCCTTGACTACCAAGCTCAGGAGTCTGGACTGTGTTCCTAAAAAGTGTGTGGGGACCCACTGAAGGTTCTCGGCCACACTGACACCCCTATGAGCTTGAAAACCCCTGGGCAAGGGCTGTGCCCCAGGGAATCCATAGAATTCTCTGCAGATCACACACAGACCAGATGTTTCTGCAGCTGGGTGAGTATGAGAAAAGACCAGTGACCCTCATGAGATGCCCAGGGGGCCACCAGCCCTTCCAGAGGTGTGCAGGCAAGACCACGGACACTGGGTCCAGGTCCTGTGCCCCCAACACCAGCCACGTGACGGCAAGACCCTATCTCTCACCAGGGTGGCCCCTTACCTATAAAGTGGACAATTCTCTGTGACTCCCCAAAAGCTATACTGCTAGGAGGTTAGGAGTAAAAACTGTAGGAAGAGTACCTGGCACACGGTAGATCTCAAGAACCCTGCCCCCCGCCTGCCGCCCTTGTGGCCCAGGCAAACAGCCTTCAAAGCCGCTTGCCTCAGGAGCACGTTCGCTGCCGTGGAGGCGGCAGCGATCTCAGCATTGTGTTCCCTGTGGCTTCCCATCTCTCTGAGGATATTTCTAGGTCTAGTCCTTTATTGTTGTTCCCTTCTCGTTCTTTTATATTTCAACACATCTTTTCTCTAAGTGGGTGCCAAATGGGTTTTAAGAGGATAATGAGCTCATTAAAAACTGGCAGGGAGCAGAAAGATACAGAGGCCTTGGTGATGTGGGGAGAAAAGGGGGCTCCCTGGGAAGGGCTGAAGAGTGGGGGCTCCTTCTGACTTGAACCTTCTACACCATCCTGCTATGCTAGGGGGTGGTGAAGGGGGCTCACCTTGTGGGGGGACACGCTGACCTCTGAGCCCTGTGCGGAGGGGGCCACATCTGCTCCCCCTCCGTGTTAGCCCCAGCATCTGTGGCACAGATGTCCCCAAGACACACAGGGAAGAGGAGTGAAAAGAGTGGAGGAGACCGGCCTCCCTGCTCTGTGCATCTGCCAAAACACCCCGCCAGCCTGGGGGAGCCTCACTCAGGGGCTGTGGAGATAGCACCTCTGCTCTGGGTGATCCTGCTGTTCAGGGTCCACCTCCCCAAGGGATCCCCATGTCTGCCCTTCATGCCTGTCTATCATTCTTCCTTCCCCACCCCAGACAGATATTCTACCCCAAAGGGAATGGAGAAATGAAGCCAACTACCATTGGGTGAGCGCTTACCATCTGCCAGGCACTGTGTTGAAAGGTTTTGCAAGCGTATTTTCACAAACTCCTCCCTCCTGGCAACCGGGGGGGCAGATGCGATGTTTCTAGGCTCCCCCCCCGCCCCAATTCACAGCTTGTATATGGACAACCCTGAACTGGGTGGGGGACATGGCCCTTCACTCCTGGCTCCATTTGCTCATTCCATACTGGAAACCACACAGCACTAACACCCCCTCTTTTGTTGCTTAAGGGGCATGACCAGCAGGCAGGTCTTCACTGCTCTTTTCTCTCTTCACCCCGATTCTCCTTCGGGGGCTGGGGGGGACTGAGTGGATCCTCGCTGGGAGCTGACTCTCAAGGCTTCATCCCTCTTTGTTCACATGAGGGTCCTCTTAAGCCTCAGTTTCCCTGCCTGTTGAACATGGCGGATGTGCCTTCACAGCCTCCCCCCGGGGTGAGCAGGCCTTTGTGCAGGGGTAAGCAGGCCTTACCGCTGTTCATGTTTCCAGCTGGAGCCTCAGGGTGTCTAAACACAGCCTATTTTTAGTACCAGAATGAACCTCTGGTGAAGTGCTGCCAAGAACAGGGCGGGCAAGGCAAGCTGGCCTTGGGAGGAAAAAACAAAGGTGGGGCCTCTCCCCCTCTCTGCCACCTCCCCTGGGCCTGGCGGGGCTTCCCTCTGGAACCCCTGGGGCAGGTGGGTCTGGCTGGAGCCCCTGAGTCGAGCAGGGGCTGCCCCTCAAGACCAGACCCGCTGACTCCCTAAGCATCCAAGTTGGCCAGGAAAGAGCTACAGAGAAACTAGGGTTTGAGGTGCTTCTTCTTCAAAGTTATGGGTCGGAGACCGCCATCTGCGAGCTTCCAAGAAACTGGGAACCCAGATCAAATGTCTTGGCTTAATAATAAAAAAGATCCGAAATCTCCACTTTCACGGAGCTTGTGCCACGTGCCAGGGAACACCAAGCGCCTCGTTTCCACTGTGCCATGGCCGCCCGTGGGAAGCCTCTGAGGTGGGGCCCAACCTCTTTGCACTTCATTTCCCA